TTTGCAGCAAATGGTGCCTATATTCTATCTGGTTTATAGATATTGATTTGTGTTCTTAGTCTCCCCTCTTCCTAAATTAAAGGCAAAGCACTTGGCAGATACTTTTTAATTCCCTCCACAGAACTTATCTGGCATGTGTCAAGAAAGGGGGGAAAAAAGGAAGGATGTCTTAAAACCATGACATGCTCACAAGTTGTTTTCCATTTAGGATAATGGCAGGAAAAGTGAAATGGGTAACTGACATAGAGAAGTCTGTGCTGATAAATAACTTTGAAAAGAGAGGATGGATTCAGGCAGCAGAAAATGAAGATTGGAATTTTTATTGGTAAGTACAATTACCGGTGGGGGCACATTTCTCACAGGAGGGCCACTCTCTCTCCAATCTCTCAGTCCTGATCCTCAAGGGAAATTTACACAACACTTCCCAGAGATGAGCCTATGAGCTCCATTTCATCAACCTCCTGGATACTAGAGACCATGGACTAAACATAGACATTGGATTTTTGATACATTATAATCTGCCTGGCAACTGACTCCCCAGCCCAGCCCCTGGCTTCTTTACTTTTCATTCCATCCAGGAAGAGCACACACCAACTGCTGAAACTTCCTTAGCCTGACGAAGGGTTTTTGAACCTGAAAGCTTGCTTAATAAATATTCTCCAACTATTTGGGTTGGTCTAATAAAAGATAATCAAATTCACCCAAGGAACCTTGTCTGCCTATGTCCTTAGACCAACACGGCTACAACCTAAACCCCTAATAACACCTGGGTATTTTTCAGCTTGTGACACACATTGCAAAGGTACTTTTCAATAAGTCAAGCAAGTGTAAAAATATATTAACATTATCAAAAGAATTAAGGTGCTGTGCAACTTAAATCTAGAATTAATTTGATGTAATACTTGTAAGGAAGTATGCCACTTAAATTGCCAGTGTTACACTTTGCAGGATTCCAGGGCCTTGATCCTTTGTTCAGACAGGTAGGAAAGTCTATTCAGTGTAGAGTCTGTGAAGACCCCATTGAAATCATTAAGACTTCCTAGGGCACAGAGCTACAGCTGTATGATTCTTGTTGTACAACATCAATCTTGGAGGTGGGCTTTTTGGATTATGGGTCTTTTGGGAAACCTGCCACCTCAGCACTTAGGTAATTTTTCTCCAGTAGCAGTAAAACTGCCTTACAGTGGTATGGCTTTACTGTATAGTTTTTTGGGAAGGCAGTACATGAGTCTACTCAAATTACATTATATGCCACAGACTTACAAAAAAAATTAGATGCACTTTTTACTTCCTTTGGAGAAAGTACCAGTGTGAGGTCAATTTTGGCCTTTTTTTTTGTCCTGTTCAGAGACTTTGACCATTGATGTTGCGGTAAGACTAGACATAATCTGGTAACACGAAATAATTTAGTCTCAAATGTTCTTCCTTGCACTTCTCTTCTGACTGTATGGTATGGGATTATATAGAAGTAGAAAGAAGCCACATTCCAAGGACGAGAATGAATGGTGGACCAAAACTGGTTAATAAAGTGGAAGGAAAATATTCTTTGACTTTGCATGTGGCATTGGTTTACTGAGTGAAATGCTGTCTTAAATCCACTTGTGAAATAGTTACAAAATCTGGCTTAAGCAACAGTTCTGGATCACGTCTTTTTTGATATGTAAATGAAGCAACATCCATTTGAATAAATTCTGGAACTTTATTACACTTACACTGCTTTCCTATTGCTTTTTATGCTGTCAGAATTGTTAATCTTTTTATCTAAATTGGTTACTAAAATTGGTTTGACTTGGCTTGGCTTGGTAATGGACACCTTGGCAATGCTTTTTGAGTATGATTTGAGTTTTACATGAGCTGCTCATGAAAACAGCTGTGGGATTTGTATTTACAGTATGTCATTCTCCTAAAATTAAAATTGCACAGCTGTAATGTAAATAATGGTAAATTCCAAATGCCACTGATCTGTGCCACCAAAATGAGATGCATCAGACCCTCCCTCTGGTTTTACAGGAGAAATCAAATAGTTAGAAATGATGATGTTTAATTTTCAATTCTGAACCTCTGAGTTAACAACTTGCTTGATATTCTCTTGTATATGTCTGCTTCAGTTCTGCTCAGTTCAAATTTTGGAAGTTTTTTTTAAAAAATGTTACAGTTACAGACTTTTATTTTTATAATAGAAATGCTGAGGTTCTGAAGAGTAAGTTAGATTCAGAGAGAGATGGTTACAACATTTGATCACGTATTGGTCATTTCCAAGTCCTGCTGA